TGACATATCTATGCACATACTGGACGGTTCTCTGTAATACCTCACTGCTTACTCTGGGGAGACAAAGTAGGTTAGTGTTGCGCAAGGTCTTATGCACATAACAAGTGCCTGGAATTCTTCGTCAACCTTTAGCCAGTTCTTCTCTAGCCAGAACCATTTTGAAAGCAGACTATCTGTTTTCTTGGCCCAAGTTGTCGAGAATCTCACTAGAACGATTTAATCCCTGTTTATTTGAGGAACCCAAATGAGTAGCACTGCTCAAGCTGGTTCCACTAACAAAACAGCATTCATCAAAGTTTTAGCAGCACATTCGCTCCATGTGATTGCTGCAACATCATCGGTTTATTCGCAGTTGATAGAAAAGCCAGGGACGGGCAGGCTCATCAGGCACAAGAAGAATGGAGAAAAACTATCCTGAAGGCACACAGTTATTGGTTGCAACGAGGGGTGAAAGCGACCATCCACGCTCAGACACTGTGTAAATCCCTTTATCCCATGTGTCAAATAGAAGTTTCTGTAATTGCCAAAACTAACAAAGACATCATTTTAATCAACTAAAAATAGGCGTGCAGTGCTAAAGCGTCAAAATAAAGTAGGTACGTCGCAGCGAAAATCGTACAGCGAGACTATTGCCATACTGTTTGTGGAAACTCCTGGAGAGCGCCGGATCGGTTCTGTCCTTTTTGGCGCCCTTCAAATAGGCGCAGTCCCCAATTTGACAGGAACTACTGGATGGACACCACCTGATCGTCCTCAAGCGGTTTTCAGCAAACGAGAACCGCAAACTCAAATTAATTTCACATTCATTTGCTTTTCTGATGTGCGCGAAGGTGCAAGAATTGGTTAATGCAGTCAGTTTCCAGTTGGGTTTGGAGCATCCATTGTGCACACTGCGCTGAACAAAGCGCGCGAGAGTTCTGGTCGGTCCAACATTATGCATGACAGTCCTCAAATTCGTGCGCCTGTCTTTGAGTAACATGTGGCACTGTGACCGAGCCAGCTTCATGTAGGTGCGGCTTAAGCGGCTCAACAAAGACGTCTGAGCTGATCGGGCCCTCATCGATGCACCTATGATCGCCTTTTGGATTACGGAAGCGTGGCCCCAGCTGGCATCGTCTGTGAACAACCTTGTTTGAACGTCAGTGCACACATTCCACAATCCTAAGGCGTTTTTTGGCGTGTATCCTATCTGAGGGAAGACAGGCCCCTCCGGATTGTTCCTACCTGTTGGGGTGATGAATAAGTCAATGGTTCAGTCGGTTTACGTAACTTTAGCGTTGGGCCGTAAATCCGACCAAATCCACGCCGGACACACCATTCGGTAGAGGATTCATATGTGTAAGTATGAGATTCAACATCGTTCCCTGAGAGATCACATAGATGCTACTCGAACTGTATGCAAAAACAAAATCGTCTCAAGTTAGGTCTGCAACTTCATTGTCGCAGCGGTTTGCTGTAAGAATCTGAATCAAACAAGAATCGACGTGTTCGAAGGGCCGCACTTCAATGATTTTCACAATAAGGGCATCAGCATGGAGAACTTCCGATAACCGAATATATCCTATACACCAAGGTGATTCTCAAGTAACAACTGAGTTCAAAGCTTCTAGAGGCAGGATTGCATACTGAAGCTGGCGGTTCGGTGTTCATTTAATAAAGCCGAACAGCGAATTTATACCTTCTCAGTGTGAAGAGTTCACTGAGAGCAAAATACGATACCTGAGGTTCAGTGGCATTCCAAAACGCACTTCCGGAGACACTACATGGCTTCAATCCAAACGTCCGCCCAGTATCGACGGGGCTTTCACATAATACCGTGCCCTCCTTCCAAGGAATATAGCCGTCTACGAAAACTGCTAAACTAGCAGGAAAGGCTACAACAGGCGTATTACACAATCGCTATGTATCAGCATATTTTATGGAAGACGTTAGTCAGTGGCGCAGCTAACCCAAGATGAGGAATAGAATAACTTCGGGTGTCATTGTTCAGTGCCGCCCGATGGTAAAGGAGGGCAAGAAAAAACTTAAATGATGTTATTTCATTAGCATGCTGGTAACTGAATAAGTGCCCCATGGTGGTCACATTTGTGGAGACGATGATTGAGAGGAGACTAGGATCAGATAGTGTTTCAAACTTCACTTCGGCTGCGGCTTCTCATGTCTACCCGAATGTTACAACCCAATTATTTGGTAAAAACTCATTACTCAATCGGTAACGGAGTTTGAAATCTTTTGAACATGACACCTCAGCTAATTCTTCACCGATACATAGCTAACCTGGTAGGCCGTGATTGCTCTTGATAGTCTTCTTTCTAATAAGACTGATGACGTCCTAATAATGTTCATACTAATATAACGATTCCCCTTCAACTTAATTCATCTATCATAAAGAGAAGCAAATTTGTTTGGAAATGAACCCAACCACGCGATTGTGATGTCACCTCGATTGGTGAGGAACCGTTTGCAATGTAACTGCTAAGTTCGGTGAGCAGATCAAGGACCAACTGACCAACCAAAGGAGGCACCCGAGCTACCAACATTCTCGTACAATTTCACTGTTCTGTCCACTTACACACCATCAAACCCAACTCTGATCCAATTGTCTACGTGCCCAGCATGGTACACTCAGAAAAGCAAAATCTGTGGACAAGAGCCAAAGTAATATTCCTTTGAAATATCCAAGACCGGAACAGCAAGGCCCAGAAATCCGGAATATATTCAGTGACCATTCTCCCTAACCGCATTAACCAAACAACGAAATTTTCTTAATAATATTCGGTACTAACTAAGCCAACCATTCGTAAGAAATCTCACCGACTAGTTCCCCGTCTACCTTCATACACAGTCAAATGCATAACTTATCCACCTGACCTGACGAAGCATTCGTGTCGGATCCAAAATTCTCCCAGAAGTAAACCCGTCCATTGTCTACCGAGCAAACATGAAATCATGACAATTCGACTAGTTCCAAACATCTTCCAATCGGTTGATACCTGCACATGCCTTAGTTGTCTTACACTGAGGAGCCCGGCAACAGTTCTACACATAAGCGCATTGATTAAATAGTCACTATGGTGAAATTTCGTGCGATTCTTCGATCTTGCTTACGCTATAGAGTTTTATTGTCGGTGTTTTCATGCTCCTTTGCCGATTCACAGATCGACTTCCTTCTGGACGCTCCCATTCCTTCATGTATGGAGGAAGGTAGTCCGTACTCTGACACCAAAATCCATAGCTTATTGAATGTGACTAGCCGGGGGCTCTTTCCAACAACCATCTGATATGCCCCCGGGTTTCTCACTGACTGCTACTAACATCCCAAATACACTCTTTGTCTACACACACGGTTAGATACTGACGGTCTCCATATGCCTGTGCGCGGTCTCTCAGATATTACTGATAGAAATGTGGTGGAGTGTAATCGCCTCTTCACAGGAAGGCCTGTATCACACCATCTCTGTAGACACCGGAGAACACCAAATGTTATCTTGCTGAACTTATACAACTATTTAGGTGAATGAATTTATCAACCTGTTGGACTGACCGCAAGTGGAATTTTTAGTTTCGATCCAACCCACTCTTGTCGCAGGACAGTGCACTCTACACCCGTAGAGCGCATGCACATCCTTGCGGCACAATCTTTAGGTCACTCTCTACAGCCTGACTTTTCTGGAAGAAATACATATACCGATCTGAAATGAGTAATACGATCTGTGTACCCAGTGTCTGTGAGTGAATACCAGCGAAATCATTGGACTTCTGGACATGGAAGGAGCAGGAAGGAACACCTGACGAAGTATATCATTATCAAATCTAAAGGAAAAACTTGGAACAGGATGGTATTGCTGGACACCAACGGACGTGACTTCTGGACATGGAAGGAGCAGGAAGGAACCCCTGACGAAGTATATCATTATCAAACCTAAAGGAAAAACTTGGAACAGGGTGGTATTGCTGGACACCAACGGACGTGGTGAGACCAGGCTAGAGGTCTGTGTAACCACACAAACGACCGAAGGCTTAGGCGTACAATACCTCTAAAGTGGACAATAACCTTGCGGGGACATTTTTGCCATCACGAACTCTTTCATTTTCGGAAAACCGCTAGAGCCGAAATCAAAAGTCACATCAAAGGAATCCGCCCACGCTGAACGCTGGATGAAATAGCACCATTCTGGCACTCCTGTCGGGGTGAACATACGGTAAGTTGAATGTTAGCTTGATCCTCGCAGATCGGAATCTGTCAGTGTTTAATAAATCTAGAAAATAATAATGTAAAAAACATACATCGGAATATGCCGTTACAACACTGATGTCACATTAACTTCTAACCCTTTTTGCTCTCTTTCTGGAAACTGGAATTACCCCTGACGCCTTCCACCTGGCTGGTATTCAGTCGTCGTTCGTTATGTAAGTATGTCGTACATGCATGTGTCCATTATGTTATGAAAGCCTGACCCTATTTTTAAAGAAAGAGTTTGTTGCGAGTTACCCGTTAAGTTGCGGCTGTGAGATGTGTTTCATCAGTGTTGCTTCTGCCTTGGGTTCTACTGACATTTTACTCAGACCTAACTAGCCATTTTACACGATGCGATGGGGCAGACAATCCGAAATCGTATTCAAACTGTGCAGCCTGTCATAACAGTCGTTTCTATGACCATTTCATCCATCCACTTTAAAGATCGTCTGGTTGGAATCCTATCGGTTGATTGATTGGTGTACTGCTGGTTTCTGCCGTAAAGACCCTCTCCATCTCCTAGATTTTCGTAAGCTGCAGTGTTTTCCTTCACTCGGGCTGTATTCAACGCTTATTGAACAAACAGCTTCGCTCGTTCTCCAACTGATCATGGCTGTGCGCATCTCCAGTGTGGCTTTGATTTGCCAAGCTTTATGCTGCTGAGCTACGAAAATGGCCCTAGAGTGACAAAATGAATGAGTCCACATGGAAACTAGACCAATGTGTTTCTCCACAGTGATGTGACGACAACCAAGTTGTGAACCTCAGAAAGAACATCAATATTTTATTGATGGTTTCTACCGAGACAGTTGGTCATATGACCCAAATGGGTCCATAAATCGTCAGTAGCTGGTTCCTGCCGGGCTCTATCGTGTAATCTGGAAGTGCGTTTTGCGTCACGCTTGCTCTCATCCTCGTCGTCGCCACGGTTGTTCCTCCTGTTCTTGATGGCCTTTCTTTACCCAACATGGGATTTTCATCTTGCAAAAGCAAAACAAATTCATCAGTTAGGTCGGTGCAAAGTATTCATGGAAACCCAATAATAAGTACGTGCGCACAAATTGGGTAAACGATATCTAAACAGGACGCATGTCACCATCTCCAGAAAAATGTCAAGGTTGTTCTAGGTATGTTATGTATGACGCAATAGGCCTCCATAGTCACCATACGGGAGTTTGTTTCGGATTTCGCAATCTTATGAGAGGTAATATTGCTCAATTGATAAGCAAGGGGCTGAAGCCACTAGCATCTCTAAGGGAGAGTGACTATCAAGTGATTGTGCTCGCTTCTGCTAACGCATCTACAGAGGATAATAAAGAGTTACCCTGACATACCAGTGAAGTTTTAAGATGTATTATGAATACCTGTCATTCTATCCAGGTCACTGTGAGCGAGCGATATCTTCGATGCTGACCGGGTTGTATTCAAATATCGGTAAAGCTAATGCGAGGTGGCCCAAGTGGTTAGAGCGAGAATTTACTGACCGGAAGGTCCGTGGTTCGAATCCAGTCTCCGCCACTCGATTTCCCCTGTCAAAGCTTGGGCAACCTGACAGTATCCCAGCCCTCGTGATTCCTTCGGGTGGCATGGGAGCTAGACACCGAAAGGGCGCTACAGCTGAACGCACAGCTAGAAAATCGATGAATGCTGACCATTGTCCGTTGCCTTACTCTACTCTGTGCAGTGGGTTACAAGAACCGTACTGCTGCCTGGAATATCGTAACAACCAGGACTATGCACCAATCCGTTTGGAGTTATCAGACAAACCAAACGCATTCCAGTCATAAAAACTGCTAATATAGTGCTCACAATACCAGTGCTGTAACGCGACAGTCGAAAAGCAACTGTGGTCGAATGTATGAATTCGAACAGCTATGATTGAGCGTTTGTCAGGTTAAACAATCCTCCCACTTTGAAAACCATCTCCTCCCTGATTTCAACAGCTAGTTCTGAAAGGAGCTGGAAGGGTTTCGATGCCACAAAATCTTCAGCCTTCACAAAGTGTGCAACTTCTTGATTGCCTTCCCCACTGAAAGTCTTATAAAAGGATTATAGAGAATTGTGGCTGACTGCTCCCACCTGAGCATGATCATTAGGATTGCCCGCAGTCATACACTATCCCATGGACTAACTATTTGGGATATGTGGCTGCATTAGTTAAACAGTAACCGACCTGCGGTAAACATTGGTTCAGCACCAAACTGTTCAGAGCAGGCCAAAAACTTACCGAGTACTGTGATTCTAGCCAGGCCATACATGTCCACGATTGTGGCACTGACCGTCACGTTCTCCAAGAAAATCACACTTGAAGTGCAGCTGATGGAGGGTTTTACTACGTTTGAAAGCCTTTTCCAGCTGTGAATGAGAAAAAACACCTTTGGAAAATGACGCATATATACTACTAATCTTAGATCACTGACAACTGACTAAATAAATTATCATATTGCAAGTTTTAGCCACAGGTGTTTCCATCGGTCATCTTCATGTGGAAATAAATTTATACGTCCCAATGCCTCAGTATTCAACTCCCCTCCCGCACTTATCTCCATATGCGCTAGTATATCCAGCTTCACCAACTCTCATCAACTGGCATTCTTCTTGTTCCACCACATGCGACCCGAAAACGTTGATTTGAATCTGATTGGAACCTACACCAATGTTTATTCTGGATACTCGTGGCGACAACGAACTCGACTCACCGACACAGTGCTCAGCCATTCTCTGACTCTGGAGTAGTGCCAGGTGTTAAAGCCAAGTCCCTGGAATGAGGCTCGTTAAAGCAATTTCTCACATCAGCCCCCCCGATCAGTGAGTGGCTGAAGCAATAAACAGTCAACAATCACACAGTCACTTTTACTCTTCTTTTGTGCTACAAATTCTTGTACAACTTTGAAGACTTGGGATTGTAGCAGTAGTTCATGATACTCACAAATGCACACAAACGGGCTTCCAGCAGCAAGTGTTCAACGCTCCACATTTCATCGTACTCGTAATCCAATCTCACGTTTGCGCCAGTCTTATCGACCGCAACCGCGCGGATATACAAATCTACAATGAGATGAAATGTGGGACATTAATAGTAATTACTGTGACATCTGTTCGCGTGCAATACAGTTCGCCTAGAAAACATCAACTGGGTAAGTGAAAACCCCACATTATCATGAAGTGAGTTTTGTAAAAAGTAATATATTTACACATTGATGGCGTTTCAAAAATTTTCTGGTCGATTTCCTCCCGAAATTAAAATAGTTTCTGTTTAAGTAATGAATATACTGTAGTCGCTGCATTCAATTAAATGTGGGAACGTAAACTATTATTCATGAAAACAGAAGTTCCTTACAGTGAATTTCTCGGTAGTTCTTGGAACATGACAGACGCGCAAGACGGAAGCGAAATATCAGCCAAAACTCATTGGTCTCGGCTAATGGCTCCGTGAACATTACAAACCTCGGTTGTCCAGTCTAATATCAGGCTAATATCATGCTAGAGCCGAACTTCAATGGAATAATAGATCTAAGTTGTCTCAACACTGGACACAATACAGGTGAATCGCCTTCAATATATATCATGAATGTTATTCAGTGATTCGATTCATATATCGATAAGCTTTATAACACTCTGGTTATCATTGATCCGCGTAACGTATAAGTAGATATTCCGAAAAGACCACAGTTTGAAGTCATTTCAAAAGTCCAAAATGTGGCACACGTAACAATATGCCAACGACGCATGACAGATTTTAATCCGGTTATGAGGCGAATTTTGAAAGGCAGCAGGCACCTAACTGACACGTTAGTAGCATTGCAAGTAGTTCAAGCGCTTGGCATCATTTTATTTTCTGCCTGGTAAGATTATTGCTAGAACAAACCAGAGGGACTTTGACAATCGAAGTTTTGACAACTTCCAAGGTGTAATCTATACAACCCACTTAAATTTGCATAAAAGAGATGAGCGTAAATTTTGATGCCAATGTGTAGACTTGCTATCGAAAATATTACCTTTTCTGGATACACAAACCAACACCGGTTCCACCGTTTCATCTGAAAATTATTCCGTCTCGACTACTTCGGAGTATGATTGTGCTCCTCTGTGGAACGTCAAATCACGTTCTAGATTGTGACCGTGAGAGCCAATGAATTTATTTTAACATAGACACCCCGAATGAGCATTACATGGATTACTCGGGACGGATATTGAGGACCACGTAATTCAAACTCTTTTTGCTGCTGCACTCGCATGTGATGTCTCCTCTGCAGCCAACTTCACTGCAACGAATCGAAACGGGCAGAACCGACAAAACTCAGCACACAAAAAACAGAAATCACTGGGACTTACTCACATTGTCTTCACTATCCCAATCTAGCATTGCCAAATTTAATTGAATCGGTTTATAAACTAGATGATTGTGTACCAAGCACACATGCTGAAGTTAGACTCTTGAGAACAGAGGAGACAACAGACACACCTGCGAAGAATTTGGATTGACCCTCTCTGGAGAATCGGACATCATTTCTTGGTCGAGGAGCGTCAGTGACCTTCGATAAGAAGTGTCTTAGAGGCGCAATTCTCTACTCTGTCGAATCAGTTGCCCCGTGACAAATGGAATCAATGTAAATCAGGTGACTGTAACACGTCTGTCTAGTTTGTCAGTTTTGGTCATTGGTAAAAGAACAGCTCCTCTCCTAACCCAGTAGAATCAAATTTCTCGTTACGAGTGTTCCTACCAATTTGCAATAAGGAATCATGCAATGACTGGCACTGCAGTTAATAAATTGACCTTGATGGAAGTAAGCAGCATCGTCTTGAATTTTGGTTGTCATTTTTTCTGCACATCTTTCCGTTTTCAACGCTGCTACGTGTTTTATATATGTTTAGTACAGGTAGCAATATGCACGGAAATATTGACATGAAAATTTTCAGAAAAATTATCTCAGGTGATTTTCCCAAGTGAAACAACTTCAACTGGTGTAGTGATAATTCTAAAGGACGTAAATTTATCTTGAATGTTCTGGATCAATTAAGTAATCCGGAAAGGGCAGTTACGCTGCGGGGTAAACAATTGCTCCCATAGCAGTGTTTTTTTGAAAACCCGCATACCGTGACTCAAGTCCTCTAAGGTGCTCTAGGTGCCCTAAATGTCCTCTAAGAGGCTCCCTGCAAAAGAACCCCGTTAAGCGTAAAACACTATCCAACAACCACTACTAAGCAGCTACAGGCTACACCAGCACCACCCTTTTCTAGACAGGTTGTGTGGCTGAGTAAGATGATACTTACGTGGCTTTTTGACACTGCCAACTACCCATTCATATTTTACTGCCGGTGAACTCAAAACAATGAGGTGGAGGTAGCACACAACGCTACGGTAGACGAACTGACAGCTTTCAGTCTCAGTGAAATTCATTCTATGCCACGACTCGACATCTTGATCAAAAACAATCGCATTCCTAAAAAATCTGGCGCTCGTCCTATCAACTGCACTTTTGATTTGGTTCCGGAACTTCCATTTCAGTGTACGTAGGGGCAAGTGATATTAGCTTTCATCATGTTAATGTATATGGAAGCTGGGGGCAGTCTTTATAGGGAGCAGTTGAGCTATAAAACATGTTCACAGTATTAATTCAGTGTACCACGGCATTACTATCAGTCTCAGGCACGCACAGATTTCTGGCTCGAACGGGCCATATGGCGTAATTCTCCTACAAAACGTCGACATCTGATTACTACTAGCAAAGCCGTTTCCCGTAACTGCTCTTCAAACAACGTAACCACCGTACGTAGATATATCGCTAAGTCCCTCAACTAAGCTACTCTCCCGAACATCAAGACTGTTCTACTCTGGTTCTGGTCGTTTTGGACAGATAACCCACAAAATTCCGTATACGGCAACCTTAGGGGTTTCCGAGGAGTAAAGTTTATTAAATTCTAGTTTTGAATTTTCCCGAAGTAAACGCATTACAGCAATCAGTACACGTGTGCGGTTGAGGCTACAAGAACCTACGAATGAACCCTACAGTAGGGAGGCACCTAGAATGAATAGGGCATATGCGCGTTTTTCGTCATCCAGACATAAGTGGATAGATCACATTTCATTTTCGCATTACGCGAGTATATGAATTACATGGTACTCTACGTACTAACAAATATGAGAAATTCAAAGGAGTCCGCCGATCAAGTACGCCACACATTCATTCCATTCATTGGGAAATTTCTGGAGTTTCTATACAGGAAAACGTTGGTAGCTCAGGTAATGTATACGGTCATTGGTCTATTCGTTGAGCTGGATAATTTGATGGCAGTCGAATTTCTGGATTTTCAGCTATCACTTTTTATACACCACAAACAGTATATATATTACGTTATCATTAAGACAAGGCACACAATTCTCTCACTGGTTGTCCATTATGAATGTATGAAGTCACACTACGGAAGGCGCAAAATCAAACCCTGATTTGTGTAGTTTTATTTACGATGAACCCGTAGAACGAGCATTCTGTGAAGAATTTCAAAAACGCCACGAACGAGAGATTCAGTTGGGTTTCAGGCGAATCTCTTGTCAAAACCAACTTGGTATGCAAATCAGTGTATTTCAAGAATTTCATTACGTCACAACATATTATTCTACCTATCGAATGCATTAGTTAAGATCGTTTATTCCGAAGCAAATGCATACTCTGAGCAGTACACACTAATTAAAAAAACTGCGCTAATGCCCTCATCCATCTCAACGAGCCCAAAAGTAATGATTTGTAATTGTTGTAATTCTTGAATGATGATCTCAGTGAAGAGATCTGATCAAATACCGGAACCCCTATGAATGGAACTAAAAAACAACGCGTAATTGACACGGATGGTTTTCCGCAGCACCTCATCCAATTCATGCGGTCAATGAAAAATGCTGCAGGCCTCATCAGTTTCCCGGGTCTTATCACTTACGGAATGCACAAAAATAGTAATTTACTGTACATTATTCCACTCCATTTAGGCACATCTCAGAACAACACTAACTGGCAAACTTACCAACGGTCGATATTGCAAAGCTTAATGCTATGTTAGAATGGGAGAACCGAGAGGAACGTAGTCAATGAAATCCTATAGAAAGCCACAACAAAAATTGGGGAACACAACAGGTACTGATGTAATTTGCACAACTCCATCAAAGCTCAGACCACCATAGTGCTTTAGATACGATAAAACAACGTGGCTGTTACTGAACGGACATGGAAAAATGCTCAAATAATGCTTGGAAAAAAACAGGTATGCGGTGCGATACAAGTGACAAAGGTTTCTGAAAGCGATCTAAGATCTTTTCACTGAACCTACCGGTCTGAATGCTGAGAAGAGCAAATGAACAGTGGTACATCATTTCAACAGCCGCTACATCCACTGTACGTGTTCGTTAAATACCATGCGCACGTAATCTGACCTCAGGCGCAAGACCGTACTACGCGCGCACTGTAAACACTCAACAATACACCTATTCGCATGAGTATTCTAATCGCGCACGTTTGAACTGTTACAGGCGATCAGATAAAACCTGTTTTCTCACCAGGTGGATATAGGGGGATAGGTTCGGATGGCAGTATTTCAAGACTCATTGCACCGCGCTTAATTAGTAACACTTGTAGAAAGTCTCGCAGCCACGAAATTTCTCCAAAAGAATCGTGAAAATGCAAATACGGAAGACACTTCACTCCGCATCGTCCGAACGAAGAGACCTCTCAAATCGGGTGTTCACACCGGAGAATTTTACCATCAGTTTCACTGCATATGCGACGCATACACTTGTGCATATTTCAAGCTGAAATAAACTTTAAATAATTGCCAGTGATTGAGAAGCCATCGTTTTCGCTTTTGAAACAGAAGCTCCATCAAATTACCAGTATGACTGCATTTTACAGTAGACGAACAGCCAAGTACTGAGGTCTTTCTCAACTAAGCCGCGGTCCTGCATTTTGACCACGAGATTTTGTTCGAAAAATCTGGTTTTGATGCGAAACTCATCTGAATCGAGTTGAATCTCTCGTTTATGATGGTCCACTTCAAATGAATTTACTTCATCAGACCACATCAATGTCCAGCTGGTACGATATTCAAGAGGCCGAAATAAACTGCTTGAACCTAACTAATCAATCAGGAAGTTTTAGGGTGTTGCATCTGGATAGGTTTTTCCCTTTAGTTTGGATGACTGACACTTGCGACTAATTGGCCAAGGGGACGTTGACATCAATTTTAGTCGGGTTTCGGGACCGCACTAATGCAGCCTTTGGCAGTAGAATTATCTTCTTGGGTGGTACACAGATTTTGTTGATCTTTGTAGATTCGGTTGAGGTGGTTCGGCGGTTTCCTTACTACTCCGTGTGCCAACCGCATGCCGCCGTGTTCATTTAGGCCGACCCAAAACCCCTCTTTATGCTGTTTACGCTGAGATGCCTGGCGATTTCCCCTGCTCCAGCCCTAATCTCTATGAAATCAATCACAGTCCTTGTCCAAAACCTTCCATGTGGTCGGTATCGCTTAATTTTATCTACATTTGTCGAGAGTTCGTTCATGAACCATTTGTGCTC